TTTGCCCTCTGGACTTTGGACTTGCTTTGGTGCCAACGCTTCATATCCTGCTGCTTGTAGTGTTTGGAATGGTAATGGTTTTCTTGTGCCACTGACTGTGTGAAGCGTTTAACTTCTCATTTGTACAGGGGCTCACAGCTAAGAGTTTGCCTTAGATCTTGGAGGAGACTTAGAACTCGGACTTTTCAGTAGTGCTGAAACTGTTGGGACTTTGGCAATTCTTAGAGATGGACTAAAATGCATTTTGCATAAAGGGATGTGCATGAGTCTTGGGGAGGTGCCCAGGGGCGAAATGTCATGGTTCTAATGTAATACAATGTTCAAGTAGTAAAATGTTGATAAGCATGTCTATGTACCTGGAAACTGGTTTAAGGAATTGTCTAGTGGCCAAGTTGACAAGGGTGGATTGCACTGGTTGATACATTGTGTCAACTTCAGAAGTTTAGAAGTTTAATTAAGTGACTCAGCAGGGAGTCAGGATTCTTAGTTTGTAAACATCCTAGTCCTGTGCAAAAGGAGGGCATGGAGGTAGTGTGAGTTCTACACCCCCAGCCCCAGGGGAGCTTGTTTATAATATAAGGAGGGGAGAGGGGCTGGCTAGAAGCTACAGCTGCTGCCTTTCCCTTTGCTCTTTGCTGATTTCTGCTGCCATGAACCGCTGCCGTCTGCCATGTGCCACTCTGCTTGGGAGTCAACTGAGTATAGACTGGAACCTCCACAAACTGTGAGCTGGATAAGCCTTTCCTTCCTTAAATTTGGATGTCTGGTATTTTGTCCCAGCAATGAGTGAAAAGTAACTGAGATATCAGTCTTCTCATAGGCTTTAATATACTGGTTTGCTTTTTAACTCCCTGAGAAGTATATGCAGAATGAGGCCCTGCCAGAGAGCTGTGGGACTGAGCCCTCTGAGGATTTCTGTGTAGAACAACAGTTATTCTGTGGATAAAGATTTTGGTGGGAAATCCTTCCTGAGTGCCCAAAACTCACTGGTAAAAACATCAACTGCTTTTCTAAAATAAAATGTGAGGGGGTGATGTTTAGCTTTTGCTGAGAGAGGCTGGACAGAGAGAAAGAGATGTTTGTCAGGAGGTTGTGACATGGGGTTAAACTGGTTTTATTGCCAGAGAAGCTTAGAGCAACTGACTGTTAGGTAATACTCAAACTTCAGTGCCCTTCTGGGCTACTTAGGTGGAGAAGACAGCGAGGGGCTGACTGACATACTCCTGCTGAATGAAGAGCACTGTTGGCCTGGACGGCTTGGGTTTAAGCCTGCATGCCAAAAGGCTAAGACCAATTAAGTAATACTTTTATTTTATTTATTTATTTACTGGTATCAGGAATTGAACTCAGGACTCTGCACTTGCTAGGCAGGTACTTGTGCTGCCGAGCTATATCCCAGCCCTAAATAATATGTTTAAATTGTATTTTTAATTGACAGGTAATAATTCTACATGCTTATGCCTTTTAGCTCTGTACATGGTGTAAAGATAAGCTCAGAGCATTTAGGTCATCCATCGTCTCAAACGTTGTTCTCATGTGTATAATGAAAGCATCCCACATCCTTTCTCCTAGTGAGCTGGAATTACACAATTGAGCCCTGCAGACCTTAATCATACTTCTGTGTAAGAGTACCTCAGAACGTGCTCTTACTTGGCTGTGCCTCTGTACCGGTTAGCCAAGCTCTCCTCACCCCATTTTCTACCCACTGTGTCTTCTGGTAACTGCTGTTTTGTTCTCTACGTTTATGAGCTAAGCTGTTTTTGATTCCATACATAAATGAAATCATGCGGTATTTATGCCTGTGCTGTCTGATTTCAGTCAGCATTGTGGTCTCCCGGTCCATTCATGGTACTGCAGATGACAGGAATTCATGCCTTTTTTTGCCAAACAAAAAATGGAATACACAGTGTGTATGGGTAGCACGTTTTCTTTATTTATTTATATAAGAAAAGGTACTTAGGTCCAGTGTGCATTTGTGCATTCTGAATAGTGCTACAATAAGTCTTAGAGTGCAGATGTATTTTCTTTTTTATTT